TTTAGAGACAGCTCAGAGCAGTTGCCACTTCCTTAACTGCTCGGCGATGGGGAAGCTCAGCTTTTAAAGTGCAGCCAGTCGCCCCCACCTCCGAAGGAGGCACCCGGACCCAACGGAAAGGCAGTGAGAAGTGAAGCCATGCGCCAGGGGCCAATGAGCGGGTGAGCGCCCGGGCGGGAGGAAATGGGATGTTCTTCGAGTCAGTTCCTCGAGGGAGTCCTGGTGGGTCCAGCCTGGGAGTCTGCAGTCCCACTGCTCCTCCTAGATCCGGTGCTGATGCACCCTCATATCCTGACTTCTTGGAAAAGGGATGTTTTGCATCACCCTGGTGCCACCACTCGGTGCCCAATAGCTGTCCTGAAACCCCAAAGCAAAAGAGGGCAGCGGCAGCTGGCACTGGGGACAGGGATGTCAGACGTGTGGGGCACCCATGTGCCACCACAGGAGGCTCCACATCCCAAATCCACCCATGAGAGCCAAAAATCTATGCTGGGAAGGAGGGAGGTGGGAGTGTAGGACATATGGAGCATTGTGGCACAGCTGGTGACTGTGCTCCGTGATGCTCCAGAGGATGTTCTGTCCGCCTGCTCACCCCCCTGAGGTGACAAATTCAGGTGCTGACAGAATCAGGGACACCAGGCTCAGCACCCATTGGTGCTGGGTGTTGTCCAGCACCGACCAGGGCATTTCCCACCCCATAAAAACAAGTCTTTCTGAGCAGTGTTTTGAGGTGTGTCGCAATCTGGTTCATTTTGGTGGCACTCAAAGCCACGCTGCAACGAATTTACGCACTCAGAGGGTTCAGCGGTGGTGCAGGGGGACAACCCAAACTGACACTCCCTTCCAGGGGCAAGAATGCAGTGGTGACTCACTTCCAGAAGAAGTGTTTTCCCAAAATTTCCCCTCCCCAGTCAACCTGCAGGGCTCCCTGCAGGGTTCTTCCTCCACCAGCTGCTTCCTCCTCCTCTTCCTCCTCAGGATAGCCCCAGCTGGTGGCTGGGCTGGGTTCCGTAGGGCTGGAGTGGGCAGGGCTGTGCCCAGGGCAGCCCTGGAGGGCTGGAGGAGCTAGGAGAATGTCCTGCTTTAAGTAATATGCCCATCCACCTGACTGCCTAGACAGGCTGTTAGCCAGCTGCCCACATGTCCACCAGTTCATTCAACCATCCATCCACATGTCCACCTACCTATCCATCTTTCATCCATATGATGAACCTACTATCCATCCATCTGTACATCCAGCTACTTATCCATCGGTCCACTTGTCTGTGCAAACATCCAACCACCCACCCATCCCTCCACCTGTTCACCTTGACCATCCACGTGTCTATCCATCATCAATATGACGAACCAACCATCCATACATCCATACATCCAACCACTCATCCATATATACTCCTATCTGCATATGTCCATCCATGTGACTGTCCATCCACCCATCTCCTTCAGCCACCTGTCCATCTATCCACTTGTCCACCCATCCATCCCTCTCTTCCTCCCTTCCCCTCTCCATCCCCTGGGAACCCATAAGCCCTCCCACACATTCTCTGCCATAGCAAGACCCCCAGGCACCCTGACCAGGTAATCAGGACCCTGTGGGCTGAGCACTCCCACCCTCAGCTCCCCCCTGGCCCCTCCACCTGGCACCACCACCCCCCTGGGCTGGGCCAGCAGGACCACAGTGGTGGCCACGCTGGCAGAGGCAATCGGGTGGTGCAGGGCTGTGCAATACCCAATGGGGACAAAAATAGTGCCGGTGACGGCATGGGACAGCAGCAATTTC